ATATATATATATATATATATATATATATATATATATGAAAAAAATCATGTGGGTATTCAAATGAAAAGTCTCGATGAGTGTAACATCAGGATACACTTATATCGTTAGAAATATTATCAGTGGACAAAATACAATGTCATTTCTTAATTATTGACATTTTTAAAGATATAAGCTCATTCTGATAGTCTCCTCATTGAGACCTTTTATTTGAATACCCACACGAATTTTTCATTTATTTTATATATTTCACAAATATGAGAAATATCATATACATAAAATATATGAAAAAATTATGTGGGTACTTAAATGAAAGGTCTCGATCAGTATAACATCAGAATGAGCTAATATCCTTAAGATTGTCAGTAATTAATCAATGAAATTTTATTTTGTCAAATGATGATATATTTTTAACGATATAGTTATATTGGGATCACATATGAATCATATGCTAATCCATTAAGTTTTGTTATAATTACAGACTCAATATATAAAATTTACATAGTTAAAATCACAGAATTTACCATGTAAAAATAACATGTTAAGTTCTGTAAATTTTACAAACTTTTTCGTCAATTTTAGAGTATGTTATATGTAAATAAAAAAAAAAATAAATTACCGTATCATTTTTAGCTTGCTGTCCAGTTTCATACAATAATTTCCAAATTGCCTCCAAAAACTGTGGTACGTATTTTTGAAACTCTTCATCGTATTTTTGTGCATACAAAACAATATTATCACAAACTTGTGACTTTAATTGCTCAATAACACCAGGTTCTTCATCGTCATCAGTCTGTAAGGCTGGTACATTAACTGTTAATAAACGATGAAAATTACTCATCCACGTATCCATATTGTCTTCAAAAAATTCTGGCAAATCTTGGAAATTCAATGAGTAAAATACTTTTGACAATATCGTCAATGAATTGTAAATTACTTTAAGAGCTTCAGTGTTGTTTGCGTGAATTTCTGTTAAATTCATGGTTGCCTAAAAAAATAAATTTTTATTTAATTTTTTAAATAATAAACATTAAATTCAAAATAAATAAAAACGCTGTCGTTTTTTTTATTTATACTTACAAGAAATAAATCTGTAAGAGGCTTTGCAAATTTATCCAGTACGAATTTTATTTCTGTCCACAAGCTCTGGCTCTTGAATTCATAGCGGTAACGTTTGAACAGTGAATGTGCAGTATGAAGCACTCCATTTATGATATGAAAATCTCCTGTGTTAAATTTTTCTACCATCTGATCAATTAAATCAGGCCACTTGTCCGGAAAATCATGGCGCCCGATTATCGATACAGCATCGGATAATTGCCTTTGGATTGAGTCAGGTGAATGCAACATCAAATTGACAATTAAGTTTTTAATTGTATCACGATCTACTGCGTGAATGCGATCTGGTAAGTCTTCTTCCTGGAAAATTTTATTATTTAATGATAATTGTTATAAAATAGTAACCAAAAAATAATAAATTAATTTCATAAGTTATTAAAAGTTTTTTTTTTCTATAGAATTTTCTATTTAAGATCGTATATTTTAAATTAAACAATTTTTTAATATACTAACCATTAAATATATTAAATAATTTTTTATAACATGAAAATTTTTAAATTTAATGAATATTCAATTTTAAATAAAGTAATTTTTAAAAAATTAAATCTTATAGAATTTTTAATGACCAAATAATATCAAAAGTAACTATTTAATTTCTAAAATAACAGAAAAAAAATAGAGACGCGATTCTAACCAATATATACCTAATTTTGTCATGACATAAATGAAAATCAGCTTTTTAAAAAAAAAATGGTAAAAAAAAAATATTTAAAAAATAATTTTATACTTTAATAAATAATTATATTAAAATTAGAAGGCATCTAAAAATTTTCATAATGTTTTTCAACAGTAAATAATTAAAAAAAAAATTTTTTATGATCATCAACAAATAAATTATAATATAGAAAATGATCTGGAAAATAACTTTATAGAAATATAAAAAATATGAGTGTTTATTTTCAATTGTTTACTTTAAACTGGAAAAAAATTAGCATTGGTGCAATAAAAAATTAATTTGTTTAAAATTTTTAATTTTATTTTTTAGCTGAAGAAATAAAAATTCTTCTGAATAAATTTTTTGAAAAAAATTTTTCTAGATTTGGGGAAGAAAAATTTTGGATGAAAATTCGCAAATTGATTGTCTTAAATTGTTTTTTATCCAAATCAAATAAATTTTCTTTTAATCAAGAAAGTTACTGCGAGAAAAATTTTATTTTAACAATTTTTGTACTTTTTTGAAAATTTTATTTTATTGCAAGTAAATAAATACTTAAAAGAAATTACACGCATAATTTTTAAAATTTTCTGCATGTGAAATTATTTCTTTTAATTTTTTTGTAATGATTTTTTCAATAAAAAAAATTATAAACATTTTTAGGGGTCGGCTAATTCAATTTCCATAAAAATAACAGGTAGAAAATAATTATCAAAATTTGAAGACTTAAATTTTTAATTAAATATTTGTTAATAATAATCATGAATACTTACAACTTTCCAATTACGTTTGATGTAATTTTTAAAAGCAACAGCTCCAGCAACACGAATAGTCGAATCATAATCTTGTTTGCCAATTAAATGTAATAGAAGTGCTGGATAATTTTGATTGGTTTCAATAGATTCTAAAAATTTCTCAGCTTAAAAAAATAAAAATTCATATTAATATTTTATTAATTTCTATTAATAATATAAATAAAATTTAAGAGTTCACACAATCACTTTATTAACAATGATTATAAAATTAAAGTTAGCACCGGATCATTTTTTAATTTTATTTAACAAATTTGTTCCAAAAAAATATTATTAAAAAAATGCATTTAAAATTTTTTTAAATTTCATGTAAAATTATTTTTTTTTCGTAATTTTTTTAATGAAAATAAATTTATTAGATATTTAATAATTTTTAGAATTTTTTTAAAAAATAAATTATGGCAAAAAAATTGACGTAGAAATTAAAAAAAATAAAAAATGTAATTTTTTAAATATAATTTTTTTTTTTAACAAATTTATTTGTTAAAAAAAAATATAAAATTCTTTAGTGACTGCTACCTAACTTTAATGAAAATTATTTTAGCATATAATTAATAATTTTCAAATTTTTTATAACAAATAAATTGTCAAAATAAAAATTGACATGTAAAATTTTTAAAAATAATTTTTTAGAATAAATTTGTTTGTTAAAAAAAAATTAAAAAATTATCAAGTGACTGCTAACATTAATGTCATATTTATTTTTAGAAAAAATTTTTTAAATTATAAAATATCTGATAAATTATTTATGACATTATAGTTAGAAGTCGCTTGATAATTTTTTAATAAATCAATTTGCTCTGAAAATTAATTTCTAAAAAATTGTATTTTTTATTTTTTTTATTTTCTAAATGTTACTTTTTTTTTTTGACATTATTTATTACAAAAATTCTAAAAATTATCAAATACCTGTTAAATTAATTTTCATAAAAAAATAAAATAAGGTTATACATACCAGGACGACGAATATTAACGTCCGGACTGAGTGTATGTTTTAAATAACTACTTAACGTTAATACATTTCTTTCGTCTATTTCCATTTTTATTAAAAATTTCAATTCAAGTTTTTAATTAATTTTATATCAGTAAATAATTTTTTATGATTTAAAAATCTTGAAAATAATAAAACATATAAGGAATCTTGGTATACAATAAAGTTATGCCGGCATTTTCCGCCAATTCTTTAGTAAAGTCGCAGCTGGTTTTGCGATAGGAGCGCTACCTTCAAAGCTTTTTACACTAACGATCCTGCAATCTTTATCGTAGGTTGTTAAAAAAGCGAGCTGAAACTCAATTTTAGTATTACCGTACGCGGGAAGACATTCATACTGCCGTCAGTAAGACCTGCGCGAATTGAATGAAAACAGAACGGGAAAATTTTAAATTTCGCGCCATACTATCACTAGGTGCGTTGAGCGCATGCGCGAGGGATAAATTATTGATAATTGATAAAAAACAATCAAATTAACAATATAAAAGTAAATACTACAGACCAATACTGCTCTTACGATAAGGAATGTAGAAATAATAAAACTAAACTAAACTTTCCTTTAAAATGAGATGCTAAAATGCAATGACATTAAAATTATCAGACGTCTAAAAATTTTTTATTAATTAAATTACAACTAAAAAAGTATTTCTAAAAAATTACACTTATAGTTTTTCAAGTTTTTTATATGTGAAAATTTTTTTTTTAATTGTTTAATTGGAATTTTTTCACTAAAAAATTTCTAAAAATTTTGAAATGTCGGATAACTTCATTTTCAAATAAAAATTAGCCGACGTTCAACAATTTTAGATTTTTTTTTATCAATTAAAATAGAATAAAAACATTTTTACAAAATTGCACGTATAATTTTTAAAACTTTCTACATTGTGAAATTTTTTCAATTAATTTTTTTTAAATAATTTTTTCAATAAAAAAAATTTTTAAGATATCGGATAACTTTGTTGTCGTTAAAATGCCAACTTTTTTTTGAAAAATTGAAAAAATTATGTGTTCAAACAATTTGCGCAGGTGAAAGTGAACATTAATCCTGTAAATTCTGAAAATTGTCGAGTTTCAGCAGAAATATTTCTTTATATATTTTATACGTAGGTTATATCGTTAAAAATATATCATCAATTGACAAAATACAATTATATTTCGTAATTAAGAAATTCAGTAATTAGTGTAATTCAGTAATTAATGACATTCTTAATAAGGATATAAGCTCATCCTAATATTATACTCATCAAGATCTTTCATTTGAATACCCACAAGATTTTTTCATATACTTTATATATATTATATTTCTGATATTTGTGAAATATATAGAATATATAAAAAATTCGTGTGGGTATTCAAATGAAAGGTCTCGATGAGTGTAACATCAGGATGAGCTTGTATAGTTAAAAATATCACCAGTGGACAAACTACAACATCATTTCTTAATTATTGACATTTTTTAAGATATAAGCTCATTTTGATATTACGCTCATCGAGACCTTTCATTTGAGTACATACATGAATTTATTTATATATTTTATATACCTGATATTTGTTAAATATATAAAATATGTGAAAAATTCATGTGGGTATTCAGATGAAAGGTCTCGATGAGTGTAACAACAGGATAAGCTTATATTTTCAAAAAAGTCATTAATTAAGAAATGATATTGTATTTTGTCCACTAATGATATTTATAACGATTTAAGCTCATCTTGTTGTTACACTCATCGAGACCTTTCATTTGAATACCCACATGATTTTTTCATATATTTTACATATATGTTTCTGATATATATATTAAATATATAAAAAATTCATGGGGGTATTCAAATGAAAGGTCTCGATGAGTGTAACATCAGGATGAGCTAATATCGTTAAAAATATCATCAGTGGACAAAATACAATGTAATTTCTTAATTAATGACTTTTTTAAAGACCCGAGTCGAAAAATTTAAACTGATTTTAAGCTAAATGATCTGCATTTGAACTTATTGATCTGTATTTGAAGTTTAAAAAACATTTTTATCGGTATTTCATCTACTATTAAAATTATTTTTGATCTGCCTTAAGTCTAAATAACCTTTTAGTAAAATAATTGAGCAACTATGAATATTTTATGCTGTTTCTAATCTAATGAAACTAAAAAGTTTTAAAAGTTTGATCGGTTTTTAGTCTAGTTAATGTGTAGATGGACTTTATATATTGTTTTCAAATTCAATATGAAATCTTATACTGTTTTTGATCTACAATTTTCACTCTAAATGTTCGAAGGCCAAAAGTCAACTAAGATGGTGACTTATAATTTTTTGGACTTAAAAGTATCTCATTAAAAATTATAAGTCGCATTTATTTGAAAAAATAAATTAATTTATAATATATTCATGCGCTCTCTTGTTTTATAAACTGAACGTCGATTATAACCTTACATCTGTCATATTTATTTGTCATAGCTCAACATTTCATGGATTATGAAAGTTTTGTAACTGCGAATATTAGTTGCAGTGATAACTAATAAATTTGTATTAATATACGTTTATAAAATAGTTCTCATCATTTAATTATGGATCTAAATCTAGAGTTTTCTAATTATCGTTATTAAACACAATGTGAATACATCGTCGAGACAAAATTAAAATGTTGACAAGATTAATGTTAAATTTTATACTTTCACGCATCATTTAATGAGCGGTATCCACTATTTGGTAGTGCGAAGAGTACCGTTTGGTATACATTGCACTACGAAATAGTGAATGGTCACTATTTCAGTTTCAGAGAATGAAAAGCCGTGCCCTGTAGAGGATCTTCGAGGACATGAATAAAATAATAATAAATAAATATATTATTATTATTATCAAATTCGTAAAAGGTCGGTTTTTGATCTACAAGCGATGAAAAACCGGACTAAAAATTATAGAACGTTTTGGTCTGTTTTTGACCTTGATGCGATCAAAACCAGCTAAATGATTGTGACGAAAAAAGTCTGATTTTGGTCTTGAAACAATAGAAAACAATTTTATTATAACATTAAAAATGATCTGAAATTGGTCTGAATTGTGAATAATACGGGCAAAAACAGATTAAATTCTCATATAAAATAGATACACATAATAAAATTAAATTGAATGAAAAATATTAAAAAATTTTATTAATCATAAAACAGACTAAATTTTTTGACCCGGGGATATAAGCTCATTCTGATGTTCTCCTCATCGAGACTTTTTATTTGATTACGCACATAAATTTTTCATATATTTTATATATTTGATATTTGTGATATATTCTGTACTTTTTAAAAATGAGAATTACTTATTTATATTAAATTAATTAAAAAAAAATAAATAAATAATAGAAAAAAATGAGTTGTCCATATTCGCAAATAGAGATTAATAACGTGATTTTTCTTCATAACTTCGTTATTATATTTCCTACGTAATTTTTTTTACTTTACCAATAATAAATCCTCTCCCGATATATTGTGTACGTAACACACAATATACTGACATATCGTTCATTAAATACCGCCGCGAATGCGGTCTCGAATGTCCGTGAGTTTAATAAATGCAAGAAAAACGAGTAAAGAGAATAGAAGAAGAGTATCGTTCCCATTTTTTTTTTTTTTTTAATAAAAAGTAAATAAATAAATAAAAAAGATAAAAAATTGAGGGTTAGAGTTAACGAGTGGAATGAAGAGGATGTGAACGAAATATATTCGGAGGGCGTAGTGGACTCTACAGCAGTCAACACCAAGTATTATAAAATACTGTTTGATCGTGTTTTGCGCGTGTCTTGTATTTTTTTCATTATTTTGACTTTACTTTCTTTTTGCGATGTGGCTTTCTCTTCTCCGTTGTTTCATTTTTATTTTTTTTTATGTGCGCACGTGACAACGCGGGTCTATCGTAAATTTTTTTCCACCCCCTTGTATATTGTATATTGTATGTCCACAACCACCTTCCATCTACCATCACTACTAATGCGCGAGCCAGCATTTACACAGTGCATACAGTGCATTATCGAATTTGTCGTGGTTATTTTTATGATCCAACAGTCCTGTTATTTATTAGTCTTTGTTCCTGGTTTAATGCTACGATAGACGGAATTCAATAAATAATTGTTTTCTTCTCTGTTTTTTTTTTTCGGTCATTTTTTTAGTTTAGTTTATTCAATTTTTTATCATATAAAATAGATTAATTTAGTGTAAAAAATTGTTTTGATAACAAATGTGCTCATGACCTGTAGGTCCTGGGAAAAAGTCTAGATCTGCTCTAATAAAATAAAATTTTATAAAAAATCATGTAAAAATTGAAATGATTATTTTTTTAATAACGAAATCGAAAAATTGATTTTGAATTAGAATGTATGTAATTTGTAACAAAATAAATACAGAAAATAAGGTTCACTTGAGCCAAGAGAATATTTTTCTTCCTAATTATTTTCTTAAGCAAAAAAAAAATTTTTTTTTGACACAACCCGTGTAAAAAAAAATTGTCTTAAAATTGTCGTTCGTTTAAGATCTTAAACGTGACACAAACTAAGACTATTTTAAGACTCTTTTAAGACGCCAAAAGAAAAATTCCGAGAGCAGATTTTTGAAAATTTTGTTCTAGAATTTGTTGTGAAAATTAATTTTTAGATGATTTTACGACTTTCTAACCGCAATATTTTTGAGTAAGATGTTTTTAAATTGAATTTAAAATTGTTAAAAAATTATTATCTGACAATTTTAAGACTTTTTTAAGACGTTCCGTTTTAATATTCCGGGGCTCTGTCGCTGTTAGCCCATCTTAAAATAGTCTAAATTTTTTGTTAAGATTTTTTCAAGACTAATTTAAGATAATTTTGAGACAATTTAAAGACGCTCCATAATAATTTTCCGGAGCTGCCACTGTGATGTTATCTGAAAATAGCCTAAAAATTTTTTAATATTTTTTTTTCAGATTTCTTTAAGACTATTTTAAGATTTTTCAAGACTATATAAAAATTATTTTAAAACTTAAATCTTAAAATAGTCTTAGAAAAATCTTAAAATCGTCTTGAAAAAAATCTTAA